CCCCCCCCAGTGGGCACGGCGGCGGCAGGCAGGGCCAAGGCAGCGCCCAGGGAGCTCCGGGACCCCCAAACTGTCTGCCGGGGAGCAGTGCCTTCGGAGCAGATCCGGAATAGTCTATTGCTGGTCACGCTGGCACGAGGACAGCTCACCAGGTCCCGCAACCACAACCCAATTTGTTTTAATAATGCAAGGGGGAAAAAGGAGAAATGAAGGGAATGTTTCCCGGGAGCCTACTGGGCAGCCTCGGCCGCCTGCTCCGTCTCGTGCGGGTTCTTCCCATCGTTCTGGATCAACTGGACGATGTGCGTCAGGTCCAGGCTGCGGGTGAGGATGTCGAGCAGCACCTCATCCTTTTGCACCCCCTCCATGAACTCTTCCAGGGAGAGCTCGCCTGTGAGAGCATGTTCAGAAAAGGTCTGTTAAATCCTGCAGCCTTTCTCCTCCCTCCACCAGCAGCCTGGGAGCAGCCCCCCAGGAGCTGCACAGGCTGTAAACGGGGCCCCAAGCCCCACCACAGCTAAACCCCGCGCCGATCCCCGCGCTGCCGGTGTGGCGAGGGGCAGTTCGCAGCGTCCCTTGGGCTGGCTGCAGCCTGCGGAGGGGACAGGGAGCTAAACCTTCGGGAGAGCCGCTCACTTGCCTGCTCTCCCCAGGTCCTGGTGTTTTGGGACATCTAACCCCTGGAACTGCAGACGGAGCTGCAGGTCAGGGGGAAGGGGGAGCTGTATCTGGCATTGCATAGGAAAGTTCCTCACCGTCTCCGTTTATATCAATTTTGTCAAACACCATGTTAGTGAATTCCTCAGCCGTCATCGTTTCGTTGCACCGGTTGATGGCTCGAATAGCCTGGAGGGAAAGGACAGAGAGGACAAGCACTGAGCGCTGTGCAGATTCGTGTCTCCATCGCTGCAGGTGGCTGACTGACCCGACACGAGAGGCCAAACTGTTTTGCAGGCAGTTATGTTCTGAAAGAAATAACTCCTTTCTAAAAAGCTGGAGCTTAAAATCACTTAAAGAGGCAATCAGTGCATTAAAAGATTAAGTGGGCACACTGGGATAAGCCAGGAGCTGTTCACCTCTGAAAATCCTTAGATTAAATCCAAGTGTTTATCTGAGCCCGGGTCTCTGTGGCCGTGGTGAAACAACCCGGGGTGGCTGCGTGCGGGTGCCGCGGGGTCTGGGGTGCAGGGACAGGCCTGGCCGGGGGCCAGCCTGGGGGGAGGCCTGGCAGAGGACAAGCAGCAGGTTTGGCCGGTGCCTGCTGATTTACCAGGGAGTTGACTTTTGGGGTGGAATATTCCTGTTACAACCTTTCTGTCTACCTGTGTTTAATTACCGTCCTCTGCAAAAGAAACAGAAGCAGCTGAGCCCACTCACTTTGATGATGTTCAGCAGTTCTCCCCGGTCAATGCAGCCGTTGCCGTCCACATCATAGAGCTTGAAATACCATCGCAGCTTCTGATCCACCTTCCCTTTCAGGACCAGGCTCAGAGCTGCCACATACTCCATAAAATCTATGTAGCCATCCTAAAAGGAGAAGGTTAGAAGCTAGATGAGATCAAAAGCAGAGTCAGGCAGTAAGTGATTGTCCTGGTCACTTGTGGAAGTCCCCACCGGCAGACGTCCGTGCGTGGCCACCGTGGTGGGAGCCGGGGCTGGGGAGCACAGCAGAGGCGTGGGGTGGGGGTCCCCTGCACGCCCCACAGCCGCTGCACTCTGCCAAGCTCTGCAGGGCCATTACGCAGCGATAACGAACAAACCCGGGGCGTGTTTCTGGCTGGGGGACTAAGGAAGCCTCGAAAGCTGGCCCTTGTGCTGAAGGAATCTTGTCATGCAAAGCAGTGGTAATTCTGAGGTCAAAGAGGCACAGGCTTACGGAGATGAGCCCTGTGGATTACCGAACGTTATCCTGCCTGCACACACCTATGGCTCTTTTTTTGCTGGGAAAGGGCCTTGCATGCAAAGCTCCAGGAGAGGAATGAACCCAGGAATACCCCTGGCACGTTGCTGACGGCTCAGGCTGGGAAGGTGCTGCTCTGTCCCTGTGCCATTTGTGTATCTGCTTCACATCTGGTCACGCCGAAAGCACAAGCAGTTTTATCTTTGACTTTCCTCCTCGGTGTTCGCCCACCGCCAGCCCACGCCGCGGCGTTAGAGACGTCCGGCCAGGCCCGCTGCCCGCTCTGCAGCCGGGGTCCGAGCTGTGCTGGGGGAGCTCACGTGCAGCACCGGCCCCAGACACTGCCCTGTGGTGCTCACAGCTCCGAGGAAGCCTCCTGGCCCGCGCAGTGCCCGCCTCGGGGCGTTCGATGGCACACGCCCTTGGGATACCAAGCGCTTTGAAGGAAAATGTTACGTGCTATAAACCACAGGAGGTCTGGTGGAGGGAATAAGCCAGGGTTTTGTTGATGAACAAAGCCACCGCACCGCGGGGCGGGTTCAGGCAGAGATCATCTGCTTTATCCCACTGCTGTGAGAGCCAGATTAGGCACAAATAGCTACCGAGCCCCGCTCCCAGCAGGATTTCCTCCACATCAATTCCCTTTTTGGGCATGCATTCAAACACGGGGCAGTGAGCAATGTAAAGGCCAAGGCGCAAACAAAACACCTAAAGGATTTAGGGCCTAAATTGTATAGTTTTCGGTGGGATTAAGCCCACTAAACCCTTTGGGTTGCCATAAAATACATTCCTCATCTCACATGAGGTGCAATTTCAAACCGTTTGCAAGGAAAGGAGGGTGCTGATTCCTCTCCGCCGTGCAGCATCCATCTGCGGGTCTGGCAGAGCTGTGGAGCCGGGCAGACCGTGCTCCCCGACGCGGGCAGATGCTCCGGGACTGCCCGGCTCCGGCTCCAGCACAGCCATGGCCCGAGGCGCAAAGCCTCTCCGCACGGAGCAAAGGGCCCAAGCTCCTTGTTGTATGGGACTGAGCACATGTAATAAAATAAAGGAAACTATAATCCATCTGTGATCTAAAACAACAGAAAAACAAACCCGATCAGTTCTGCAAGCCGTAGCTCATGCCACGCTGCACAGCTTGGGAAGTTTCTGCATGAATGCAGCGCTCGTTCTCACGCTGCTCGCTTGTTCCTTACTGTCACAACATTCGATATTTAACGATTAAAGGGCACTTCATTTTAAAGGGATCACGGACTAGCAGATAAAACCCCACTGTTTCAATAATTTAAAATTAAAAGGGAAATACCAGTTGTGGGAGAAGTCTATTTTCTCCCAGAACAGGCAGTGGGGGAGGAGTTTTTGTTGACATTTTTCACCTTACATAAGCGATTTGACGGTTTATGAGGCCACGGAGAACCAGACCGCGCGCACTTCAATGCACATTGGTATTTGCATGCACCCAGATGCACCACACGCGACCACGCGCAGGGAGCAGAGCACCGCCGATCCCGCGCGGGCTGAGTGGCAAGGACAATATTTACCTTATTAAAGTCAAACGTCTCAAACATTTGCTCAACGTAATTGTTCGCTGACGGACTCAGGTTTTTCAAGCCAAAAAACTGTTTGAACTCGTACAGGGTGAGCTGGCCAGAAGGACACTCCGTCATGAACTTCTTATACCACTGGTGGCACTCGGTCGTGCTCAGCTCCTCCACGGTTTTCCCGTCCATGTTCCCCATCTTCGCACCAAGCGCTGGTCACTTCGCAGCCAAAAATGGATGGTTTCTGAAATTCTTTTAAATTCTGCTTCTTGCCTTTAAAGTCCAAGTGTCCCCAGGCCTGCAGGGATGACAGTATTGAGGAAAAAACAAACTGCCTTGTGCGTGGGCTGTCCCAGCTCGGTGCTGGTGGTGATGGATGCAGAAGACACCTCTCCCCAGGAAAATTCAAAAGCACAAAACCCTCTTCGGACAAGAAGGTGACATTTAAGTACCCAGCAAATCCCTGCCCGGCCAATGAGGCTCAGGGGGGTGATGGGCTCCTGCCAGGCATTAAGAGTTCAGGGTTAAAATAGAAAGGCAGTAAAATGGGAAAGTCTTGCAGATTACAGGCCCGCAGGAGATTACGAGGGTGGAATTTTCTCCGTGATGGTGTAATCTCCTAATCCACTTCATTTATGATTCTGTGTGGGGTTACATGAGCAATAACTCTTGCACCAAAATCAGAGTAAGAAGAAAGAGAGTAAACCACTCGGAAGTCTCCGTGCTGTTACTGTCTTTTTGGTCTCCCTTCGTCTTATTCTGGCTGGAGGATTTCCAAGCGGGGCCGACAACCTGAGCCTGAAATCCAGGAGGGGAAGTTCCACTGCAGCTCCTGTACGAGATGATATACGAGGGCCAGTCTGGTGCGCTGAGACAGGCAGAGAAACATAACTGCTTTGGATGGTAAAGATTTAAGTGCTTTAAACGCAGACCCCAGGTGCTATGCCGACCTGCTCCGGCGGCTGGGTCCCTGTGTTGGGTCTCTCTGCTCCTGCAGCCGAGGGTTTCTGCCACAGAATGGCCCCGCACATAGCACGGCCCTGCCAGAACTTGGCCAACGCCAGTGGGGCTGAATGCAGCTTCGATTTTCATTTAGGATGAATTTCCATGAAAAATTCTCCCTGTAAATATGACCGAAACCAATGCTGGTTTTACTCTGACGCACAGCGTTCAGAGACGGGCTGGGAGATAAAAAAGCATATTGTCAGAAAGCAGCACGGCCGGATTCTCCATGAGCAATGAAATGGGTGTGACTGGTGGATCTCTACCTGCAGAGAGTCGGTCCTACAACACTTACTTTTTTATATCTGACCACTTTGAGACAAAGAGCCGAACTTTAAGGTTTTGCAGAGCTTTGTATTGCTTCTGCACTGAAGTAAATAAGGAATCACTCTGCTAAAGCAGGTGGCTTTACCCAAGCGTAAAACAGTTATCAAAAAGGAATTCAACTGAGGAACACTAACTGGATGTGCAAATCCCTCACCAGCCAGCAGCAGCAGACACAGGTCCCCGCTGTGCAGAGCACCTGGAGCCAGGCGAGGTTTCCGTGGGTGCCCTGGGTGCCAGCCCACCCTCCAAAGGGGACACGGCTGGGGTAGCCCGTCCGGAGGCGCGGAGAGGGGCTGCGACCCTGAGGCAGTCATTAACAGCAGAAAGGTTGCGTATTAAAGGCGGATACAGGCTCGCCAGCTGTTTCAAGAAGTATTTGCTACCGGTGTGTCCAGTTCCCCAGAACAGGCAATGGAACAGGGTTTATGCTGCCTGCTGGAGAAGCGCTGCAGGGATGTGCCGCTGAATTTCAGCTCCAGTTACTGTCTCATTTCTGAGCGCCACAAATGAAACTGCTTTTCCATTCACTAAGAACAATACTTCCCCTGTGTCTAGGAGAGCCTAGTGAAAGGTGTCCTTTCAAAGACAGAACAGAATTTAGGCTCAGCAGGGGAAGCCGGTGAAACCTTCCCGGGTTCTGCAGCTCGTGCTAAAGCCAGGCTTGTGCAGAGGAGCCTTGCTGGGTGGCCATTCCTGCAGCGCCGTGCGCTATGGACACCCAGTGCCTCCGTGTACGCAGTTGGCAATCAATGACAGGACAAGTCGGACCAGGTATTTAGAGCAAAATCCACACTGCCTATTTCTCTGGGGAGCAGTGACAAGGCCTCACCACCCATCCCTCGGCTCACGTGTTCGCTGCTGGTCATAACTCAGACACTCCAAGGGAAGCAGAAGCCACACTGGTCACTGGCTTCATTGCTTAGCTTTTATTGCTCTCGCCTACGGCTTTGTGCCCGGATGGGTCTCCATTTCACAATGTTTGCACTCAGGACGTCCATCACCTTCCTGGTGTGGTCGGTGTCACGGTGGTAGTGGTACCCGCACGTCGGCTTCTGCGCAGTGTAGAAGGGGCTGTACGAGTTGGAGTAACTTGGTTTGTAGAAGAGAAACTTGAAGGAGTCAGGCTGACGGCCCCCAAAATGGGCGACAAAAGGAACAAAGTGAGTGGCCAATGGCTGGCGACGTGCTGGAGACGGCTGGCTCATCGGGACGGGCGGCGTGCGAGGGACCTCCTGCATGGCTTTGGGCTCCTCCGTTCCGTTTGGTCTCTTGTGGTCTTTGCCGGGGGCTGCTGGTGTTTTAGTCACCTGTGGAGCAAGAGCCAGACAAACGCATTGCGAATGCCCCCACACTTTGCCATCCTCATCAGTGCTGAAGGAGTCCCTGATGCAGGAGTTGTGTACTGGTGACCGAAAAGCAGCAAGTCGAATGAGCCAGGAGAGCTCAGGGAGTGCCAGCCTGCACTACGCACTGCAGGGGCAGCCAACACACGGTATAAATGCTGAGAAGTCAGGTATTTAGATTTCTTCAGCTAAAAGTCTAAGATGAAGTTACTTAAGGAGAAAGTGAGTTTAAAATCAGATGAGGTACTGGAAATATGGAAGCGACAGTGAGAATAAAACAAAGCATACTGAGGGAATGCATGCGAGGAGACTTGAAGGACTCGGTGCTCTCTGGACTTGCGTTTCAGCTGGTTGGTTGTAGCAGTGCAAAGGGAATACGAAGTGCTGCCCCACTGCTGATGTTCCTGCTGTCAGTCTGACCTGGCTCACCCTTCCATCCCTTTTGGGGGTAGGACATTTTCCTTCTGTGTTCAGCACAGGGGAGCCCCAGTCCCAGATCGGGATCTCAGCTGTAACAGCTACAAACAGCAGCACTACGTACGCCTTGTAAAGCCTTCACCAGACCGCAGCCACGGCAAACCAGCCATGAAAACGGTTCAACCCAGCCTGACCCACAAGATGCAATGGGGCGTATCAGTGATGATGGAAACGTAACCACAGCCCGGGGCATCGGCTCCGCAGGCTGCCGGGCCCTCTGCGGGCACCTAACCCCCCCCAGGCCTCGCACGCCGGGCTGATTGCTCTCGCCAAAGCTCTAAGCGGGGTTTTTCCCCCTGGAAACGTGAAGGGGGAAGCAGGGTTGTTGAATAGTGTGAGGCAAGCTCTTCCTTGTCATCAGCTGGGTCACCTTTCTGAACTCTCGGAGCAAAGCCGGTGCCATCGCCCGTACGCACGGCGCAGGGGACCAAGCCTGTTTTGCCTGTGCATTTGCACGAACCCTTTGCAGAGGAGCTGGTGTGGATGTCTGCCCCAAGACACGCGCTCGTGACCCATGGCTGCTCCAAGGCTTCGCTTGACTGGGAAAGTATTTCTGCTGCTGTTATTTAACCATGACTCAGTTATCTTGTTTTCATTGATGACACCTCTGTGCTAATGGAAACTGGCTCTTCCCCCAGCAATTATCCGCTTTACTCCTGGGCGTCCTAAATAAACGCTTTGCTGTCTGGCTTTATTTTTAACCTTGTAAAGAGGTTTCCTAGTTTCCGTGACGCCCTGGCTTACTTGGTGCTCTATTTCTGTTCCCTGTAGCTGGCTCTGAACACTGGCCCCTAAACCTCTTAGGAGGGGGACACCCGCAAATTGTTTAGAAATCTCCTTAGAGCCATGAGGGAGACGACCGGATCCCCGCAGGTTCCTCAACTCTTTTTTTCACTCCTCTTTCCCCAGCACAGCCACCTGCCAGATGCCTGAGAGGCTCCATCGCCAGAGCTCAGCACAAGTGTTCTTTCAGCAGCCGCTTACAAGGAAATACCAGTCCATTTATTCCACAGGGAGTAAAATAATGGAATTTTGACTCCTGAAGAGTAGATTTCGTACCACGACAGTCATTTCAGTGTGGTTTGTGAACCCCTGCTCTGAGCGCCCTTAGATTTGTTCAGAAGTTATTACGTTCCCATACGTGCTCACGGCCTTTCTCGCTTTGGAAGATAAGAGACAAGTACGCACACGACCGCGCCGCTGCGCCTGCACCCACCCGGCGGGAGGCATGCATGTCGTTAGAGCAGAGCGTTCGGGGCGTGGAGTGAGGCCGCAGTCCCTGTGGAAGCCCAGCTGCTAAGTCATGTAGATGCTCTGGAGATGGGCGAGCCTTGCACGCGCTCGGCGATACGGGGCTGATGGGCAGGGTAGCGTGGCAGGGAGTGCTGAGCTTTGGGCTTTGCTCTTCGATGGGCTTCGTCTGCCCTGGGGGCTCCTACTCAGCCTCTGGGGCACCTGCAGCTTGGCAGAAATATCCCTGGTGCCCGGGTCAGTGCTGCTTACGTGATCACTGCCTTTGAGGGGAAGCACCGGCTCAATGTCCACGGTGCTATTTATGGCACTGCCAGCGCCCGGTGCCTGAATTAGAAGCCCCACATAATCCTGTTGCATCCAGCCATATGTTTAGAGATCCCTAATCCCCCCCAATTTGTCTGCTGTCTCTCAGAGAAGATCCTCACAGGTGGGGCCACAGACAGAAGACTGACTGCGGTCATCATGCAAGCACGAAGGGTTCCTGCGCCCGCCCGGGATGACGCGCTCGCTGAGGATGCAGCGAGGGGGGGTCCCCCCCGCCGAGGGGCTCTCACCTGCGGGGTCATCCTCCCGGCAGGGACCCCGCATGCGGGGCCGTCTGTGGCAGAGGCTGGGGGCA